ATACATCTAACCCGAGGTAAAGCCATTGGCTATTGAAAACGGATCAATTTCAAATAATCATCACGATCCATTTTCGATTATTCACAGTATAAGAATTTCAAGATATCCAAATTTTAGACGATCTATTTGATTACCAAAGAGGATTGAAACATTGGAATAAAAACTGAAGATATTTGTCTACCAATTGACTTATCAACTTTTATTACTGATATTATTCAACAAGATTCACAAAACGCCCTGAGAAAAACGTTAGGACCAAACAGTAGCTAGATTCTGAATCAGATTTGAAAATACTTCAGAAGGTTCTTAATTGATGAAGACAGAAACGAAACAGTTTTAACATCGATATGATGAAGGATTGATTCAGAAAAATTTGATATGAACAGAAAAATGAAGAAAACTATTTTTAAATTTCGATTCGTTTCGTAAATGCATCTCAATAGTCACATACTTTTCAGTTCATGAAGAGCTATTGCTTGGATAAAGAATTGTATGAGATTTCTGTCATTTAGTGTGATAAATATACAATCGACTTAAATTTTTATTTCATTATTGAATCTTAAATGAACTCTTGAAATCAGCTGAACGATTGAGAACTTCTCAAGTTTGTCTTAAAAAAGGCATAATAAATGATGAATAAATGGACGATAAAAGTTGCAATTTGGGTGAATGAAGAATTGATTTGCAAATGGAACAGTTGAATACTCTATTATCATGATTAACCTTCCCTGTTCAGTTCATCTTACCTATCATCTTTGTGTGTTTTTAACAGTCTATTTTCATTTTATTATTCAGAATCTTTAACCCAATTATCATCAACTTTCAATGTGAATTGTGTGATTTTTAAAATCAGTTTACTTTCTATTCATTGAATTGATTGAAACTCTGTAAAGTGTTTTCAAATGAAACTGCTGATAACAATAATAATGATCATGAGAAACACTCAATGAAACATTTCTTTAGATGCAGTTCATCAAGAAAAGATATCAAAACGCGAATCAGCTTGCTTTTATTTCTTTTGTCTGTTCAGATACTCAGCTTATCATCATCATTATCCTCATGGTATCATTATTATCACAATATGTGCGCTTCCACAAAAAAGAAAGAAGATGCAGAAGGAAAAGAAACAGAAGTTGAATAAAATGAAGAATCTAAAGATGAATCAGGAGAAGCAAAAAAAGGGTTAAGACATTATTTATTTAGAGAAAGCATCACTTTTTTTCATTCGAAAAACACTTTTTCCTTCTTTCCACCAACCATTATATTCTAAATGTAAAGTCTCTGTTAATGCTACTCTGAGTTTGCATTCTTCGTCATCTTCGTCTTCTTTGTTTTTCTGTTCATTTCAGTCTCAAAATGAATCCAAAATCGATCTACCAAAATGAATCAGTTTCACCACTATTATATTGAATAATGACTGTGAAAAGGATTTTGAAAGTCTCAACATTCATCTTGAGTCTTTCAGATTGAATTAACCTTTTTTTGTATCTTTTTCAGTAACAATTTTGCTCTCTAATGTCAAGTGACAGGGAAGTCAATAAATTTCAAGATAACAATTTCCTTGGAAATAACAAGTAAAGAGAAGGAAAAGCAAGTTATCGTCTTGATTTATCATAATGAAAACAATTAAGAACAGTTGAAGAAGAAAAACGTTAACAATTAAACTTTCAATCTTTTGTGTAGCTTAAGGTCAACTTTCCGACGTAAACTTGATTTATTTACTTTGATTAAAAGAGGAATCGTTTGATAGTTGAAATGATCGGAATGAGCAAAGATTTATGATTGGAATAAAAGATTGAAAAATTATTTGGAAACAATTGATGATTCGAGAAACGAAACGATTCTTTTCATGAAATGGTATTAAAGTTTAAACAAATTCATGAATCAATGTGGAATCAGTAATTCTGAAAGTGCTGATTCGACAAACTTTTTTTTCACTCCAAGTAACTTGCTTTTCGTTGAAAAATTATTTCAAAACTTTGCAATCTTATTTGCTACTTTATTAGTTTAGTTTGAAATGTGAAAGAAACAAGATTCTGTTCAGTATTTTAGCAAGTTTCGTTTCTTTTAGATGTGAATCAGAATCGCGAAAATTTGTTTCATCAAGTGAAAAACCTGATAACGTGATTAAATAATGTCGGAAGAAAAGTTGAATTGAAACACAATATTGTTTCCTCAATTCCCAACGAAATAGTTCAATAAAAAAATTGTTTTCTACAAACAATTTCAATTATCGTTACATTTATTATTGAACAGTTGCTAACTTTGAAAACCCAAATAACAGAATAACAATGTTATTCTTGATCAGAAGTCAAATGGTGCTTCAGGAAAGTTATTTGATTGTCTTTTCAATCATTAAATTCTTGTCAAAATATATCCAATTGATGTGCTGTTGTCACTTGATTAAGCAGTTCTTGAACAAAAAATTTATTTCATTCTCATCTCTTCAAGATGCTATTTTATAATTAAATTGATGAAGAGAAAAGATGAAAGGAAAAATTCTAATAATTTTTATTAATTATTCTGAAGATGACCTAAACATAAGTTGAGCCTTAGAAACAAGCAGAATAGTAAAGTCCGGAATTGAGGAATTGTTGGATTAGACTTTTTAGCCTTGATTTTTGTAACTGGACTGGAAATTGATCTAAAATAATGGCCGTTTTTACCCAGTATGCCTGTCTGCAATCTTAACTCACTAATGTTTGATGCTACAGACCTCAGATTCTAAGTATGAGCTTCTGCAGATTGAAGAAACACAAGTTCGAACGGTCAAGATCATAACGTTATTTCACCTTCAAATGACGTTTGAAGGTCATTGTCATTAGAACATTAGGTCTGTAGCATCAACCGTTCGTGAGTTATTACTGCAAAAAAACCATAAGAATAAATTGTTAGAAAGATAAACAGTAAAATTACACATTCCACATTATTCGATTGTTTGATGTTTGTTACATGTTCATAATACATGCTGGCCAAAGGATAGGAGTTTTTGCATACCGTTCAGTCAATCAATTTGTTTGAAGAAAAATTGGTTAATCTTTGCAATGGTATGAGCAATGAACATGTTACAAACAGCAACCAATCTGAAAAATTTTGTACTCTCAGGTCAAATTACTGAGTGACTTGAATGACCTTGAGCTTTCGAATTTATGAATCTTCAAGCTGCGGAAGCTCATGGTCAGCTTCAAGTCAGTGGTCTGCAGCATCAACCGTTCATGAATTATGAGCACAAATAGGTAGTAAAATAGAAAAACGCCCAATATAGTATAAGGCTTTCGACAGCTTCTGCAAAGTATTAAAGGATCGATACGATTTTTTCAGGTCATTTTAACCAAAATTGAAAAAGTCTTTTTTGTCGTGTTCAAAGTGTCTACTTCTGTTATAAAAGTTAGATCCAGTGTGGCCATTAGTTAAAACCGAATGGCATACCAAACAGTTCGAAGCTGGTTCGTCAATTTATTGATATAACCCTTCCTTCATGATGTATTGGGTTTTCCAGTCATTGCGACCTTACAAAGAGGTTTTCTATTGGAATTATGCATTTAAATTCTGTGCAACATTTATTGGCGATTCTGTTGATAAGACAAAAGTCTCGCATTGCATTCAATGACTAATCTCGACTGTGAGCATTTGATGAATGAAAACGTTTTTGGCTTTTCTTTTCATCTCAACCAATGAATATTATCCTGAATTGGTTGGATAAAAGTTGAAGATGAAAAAGATGGTCAAAGGATGCAAAAAAGATTCTTTCATATTCTTCTGTTCACAACTGTGATGACATTTTATTTATCATCAGGGATGAAGATAAGTGAACTGGAATCAACCTCACAAAATATCTTATTGAAAGTAACTGTCAACCTTTTCATTGACCCTCAAAAGGCTTATCATTTTTATTTATATTATCTTCATCCGCATCATCATCATCATCATCATTCTTCTTCTTCTTACTTTTATCCTTTCTTTGTTCAAGTGAACCTTCTCAGAGTTTTTTATTTTTTGGTGCGATATTTTCAACTAAAATTTCAACAATATTCCATCGTTTTATTGGTGATTCATAAAGGTTATCATGATAAGAGCATGAAAAGTCTGAAAATGATAGTAATAAAAGAGCGAAGAAGAAAGCGAGAGATTTAAAGATAAAAGTGAGATTGATGAATGTGAATGATTAAAGGCGAAAGCTTGAATAACATTGAGAAGTAAAAGTTTTGACCAAAGAATGAAAATGCAAGTTCTCTGAGTAAAGATGATTTTTCATATGGTAAGTGACCATTTCCTGAGCTCAATTTCATTCTGTGCTTTTCGCATAAACAAACTTTTAGAACATTCCTTTTTCAGAATGTTTTTTCAGGCAAATTCATTTTCAAATCCATTACTTTTCTTTCACTTTTTCACACAAGTTTCATCTCCTTTTCATCATGAAAAAAGACCTTACATCAAGCTAAAACTCCTTTTCAAGTCTTTCCAAACTTGAACCATTTTTCTTGAAACTTTTAACCTTGGTTTGCATGAAAAAAGTTGAAAATTCAATTTCTTTCACACAAACCCTAACAATGAATGCAATGATTGATAATCACCTTTTATTTGTCCAAGCTTCATGAATAAGAATTCATGACAAAACAAACAATTCCATGTTTTACTTTTGCAATTGCAATGACAATTAGAATGAACTTTACTCAATTCATATGAATATTGATGAGTGATGAAATTAAAAGCAAATTATCCTCAGATTTTAAATGCAAGTAAAATTTTCCATGTTGATAAAGGTTCATTATTTCTGGTTCGTTTGAATAATTATTGACGATTTTTTTCATGGAGATTTAGGGAAATCTCTGTAGTTCTTCAAGTGAAACTCATGAGCTTGATTCATGTAAACATTCAAGCTTGTAATGAATATGCATTGATCTTTGATGTTAGTGAAAATATTTTGATTAATGATGTGTTTGGATGCGCGAATTAGAGAGAGCAAAAAAAGCAATCAATTGATTGAGACAAAGACTTACCAAACTTTGACCATTATTATCAAGTGTTGACCCTGAGTTGGTTAAATTGTTTGATTGTGAAGTGGGACTAACAAGGTTGGAAACTGCATTGGGATTACATGTTGATCGCCAATGATTAAGTTGATGACCAGTTTCCATTAAATGACAATTGATGCTATTATTATAAGAAGGTTGACATGGATTGGATAGAAGTGGAGTGGTCAATGGATTATCAAGCTTCTCATTGATTGTTTCATCTTTAAGGTCACCATTTCGTGTTAATACTTCCGAACCAGTTAACCCAATATCTGAGAGAAAAGAAGAGAAGAAGAAGAAAAAAAGATTGAATCAAAATTACGAAGCAACAAGAACAGAATTACAATGACTTTGTTACTCTCTTGCTGAGTCTAAATAATCATTTCTGGTAACAACATTGACATTAAATTAAAAAATGTTGATAATAATGAGAAGGAGAAAAAAAGATGAAATTAATGGTTGACCTAATAAATACAATTAAACACAGACACATAGATATTTAACCACAAAATAAAGGCGAGATAAAAGTTATTCACAATCATTCCCAGTCAGATGAAAGGGAATGATAAAGTTGAGTGAAAAAAATGATAATTATAATCTGTAAAGATATATTCACATTCAATTGCAAGGTATTCATGTGAGAATGAATATACAAGAATGTTTCTCTATCAAGGCAAAATTTGATTAAAATTCATCTCAAATGAATGGAAAAGGTTGAAACATCATGTATATAATCATGATAATAGTGATAATAAAGGTTGTTGTAACAATTATTGCGTGCAAAATGTGAATATAAAAGTGTCGTTAAAGTAGCACAAGATTTAATCCAACAATGAAAAGTAAAAAAGTGCTCATCATCATCATCGAATAGTTAATTGTCGATTGGTGAGAAAAGTTTATTTCAATCGATATTCTGTTGGATTTCAATTTCGACTTCAAGATGAAGATAATGATGAGCCGTGATGAGCCATGATGAAGTGAATCAAGTTGTAATGTTCATTACGAGACTTGAAATATCTGTGCATATAAACTATGCTCTTATGGTTTTGAAGGAGAAACATTTTTTTATCGTTTTATTCTTTTCTCTTTCATCATGCACTTTTTTTCTTTGCCTGTTTGTATGAACAATGATTTCATTAATTATCTTCGTTTTGCTGATTTGCTCAGAAATCATTTCAAATGCATTAGTTGTGTTTGTTTTTGCACAATTTTTTTCTTCTTTTACTTTCTTCTTTTCCTTTCTTTTCATCATTTTTTTACTTCTCCTTTGTAAAAGAAGACAAAAAAGTGAATTCATTTGACAACTTTAATAGACAATAATGACAGTAATAATGGGAACCAAATGAACAAACAACTTGAAGACTTTAACAGAACATTATTATTAATGATTTAATAACTGATTTTGCGGTAAAAATACTTATCAAAACTTATTTTTTTTCATCAACCTTTTTAAGAATACTTTTTGCAACTAAATGAATCATTCTGATTCAGCTTATTCAATGTAAAAAGCTTAATTTGCAATGAGCAATCCAATTTTCTGAATGACTGAGTTCTGACGATTTTAAGATAAAAAGGCCTTTCGTCATTCCATTCATTCAATTTCAAATGCTGGAGACAACGATTCTTGAAATACTCAGATTTTAGCGTTTAAATTGAATGTTTTTAGTCGACAAAGCTTCGAATTCATCTCTTGAACTTCATAAAAACCAGAATCTGATCGAAAACTATCAAGTTAACTGATTCAACTTGATCTTGACTAACATTCCAATACGAAATTCTTGTTAAAATGAAGAACCTTTTACCTTGTTGAATTTAATTCCTTCCCAGATACTCTGAAGGTGAACCTAAGCTGAAGGATAATTAACTAGATTAGATTAAGAAGTAAACAAAAGCTAAGCGATTTAAGTTTGAGTAACTCGAAGCTCAGGTAATAAACTGTCTTTTTAATGATAAAAAATAGCTGAAAATGGAAACAGGAAAACTTAAAATTCAAGATTCAATAAAACTTTCAATAACTGATGATTCAGGGCAAAAGAACTATTTTTAATCATAAACTCATATTTGCATGCATTTGAATGGCAAAATATAACAAAATATAAAAGGCATTTTGGGTTCAATTTAGGTTTCACAAAAAAAAAATAATTTAAAAACTAGAACCGAATCATAAGCATTCTATAATAATTTACTTTTTAAATGAATTTTCAAAAACTGAATGAAAATGAAAATAAGCTTAGCTAAACATTTGAAGAAATTTATTTCGTAATGAAATCAGCTGAAAATTGAAAGCTTTTATCCAAAGAAAAACATCGATTCAATGCGATAACAGAAAATCGCAATTTCAGTAAATAAGTAATTAACAACTTGATTGTATTCCAATAATTTCAACCATTTCATCACATGGAATAAAAAATCTCATTGAACGGAAACTAGAAGAATCAAAAGAAGAATCTTGATTTTACCAGATAATAGCGAAATTCACATTCAATTCCATGATAGACGCCTGTTATAGAACAGAATTTTTCATTGCATCTATTTATGATATTTATTCGTCGGATTACCATTGAATATAATTCAATTGCCTGGAGGCGATTTGACTAATGATATATCCTACATTTCACATGAGATCTCAGTTAATGGAATAAACATTTCAACATTTTCTGTTTCTGTTCACAATAATTCCTAACAAGGTGATGATAATTTTGTTAATCTGCAAATAATGTGTTCGTTTCTCTTTTCCTCTCGAATAATTCAATTGGGACTTTTCATGATGAAATGTGAAAAGCAAAGGAAAATAAATGTTGCATCTGAATCAGGAAGTTGATAATTTAGACTGAAAAAAAGAACACAAAATTCGAGATGAAAAAAGTTGATATTTTTTGTGAATCCAACTCGAATCATTAATATTACAGTTTCTCTCTCATTTGTCATTCAATTTAACATGAGAAATAAATCAACTAATATGATTCTTTATCTGATTTAAACATTTACTAACCAATTTACGGTTCACTTGTGAATCAGATAACATTAATGAGTGAATTTGCTTCATGATCATGGACTTGGAGTTATCACTTTAGTCCATTCAAATGTGAATATTGTTTGCAAAATGAAATTGAAAAAAAGGTTTGTAAGGAAAGTGTTTCAACTATTGAGTTGATGTATCAAGTTATCTGATGGTTGAGTGGAAACAAAACTGTAAACTCGATTTGCTTGTCAAAATGAGTGGACATTCAATTGGTCAATCATTTTAAGGTCAACATTTGTTGACTTCGAAACATTGAGTAAAGATAAAAGCTATAACTTCAATATTTGTTTTCAATGTTTCCAATTTTAAACCAATTCTTTATCAACAACAAAAAATATCAAATCAATATTGGACTGAAGGTTGAGATGGAAACAAATTGGATGCAAAAAGAACTGGAAAATGTGTCAAAAGTAAACTCATTCAATTTTGAATATTGAATATGAAAATATGGAACATTCATCGAACATGCTTTCATCATTATTTGTTGATGTGATTTTTAACAAATGCAAATGTATTTAAAGATGATTTTTCATGATGAAAAGGAAGAGAAAAATGCTGAGTAAATGACCTTCTTCACCATTTTGTCTGGATAAAGTTGAACAGATTTTTGATGAAAAAAAGTAAAGTTAAAATAAATGTTCGTTTACAGATGCAAGTGATGATGATTATGCTGAAGGGAAGGCAAAGATAAGATAAGATAAATATGGATGATTTGTGACGTAAGCAACTTTTACAAAGATCCGATCAAATAATTTTACTAACATTTATGACATGCGCTTCTCTTCAATTAAAACATGCTTTCTTGTTGATTGAAGCAAGTTCAATTTTCATCAATGAAATAGTGTTTAGTCAATTGTTAATTTGTGAATATTATGATTTAAAATACTGAAATGGCGAGCCATACAAGTGATGATAGGTTTTTCAGTAACTTAAGTCCATTAACGGGTAACTCAACTCTAGAATCTACTCTACCTCTATCGTCTAATGACGATGTAAGTGACCAAAGTACCAAAAAGAAACATAAGAAAAAGAAGTCCATGAATTGTAAGTACATAAGTTCATTATGTGAAGATCTGCCAATGGATATTATAAATGTTTTCGGAATCAAAAACATGAATAAACCCATTGGCAGACCAAGGCTTGAGTTTATCTATGTTTTCGGAATCAAAAACATGGATAAACCCATTGGCAGAACAGTGTTGAGTTTTGCTATGTTTTCGGAATCAAAAACATGGATAAACCCATTGGCAGAACAGTGTTGAGTTTTGCTATGTTTTCGGAATCAAAAACATAGATAAACTCATTGGCAAGTTGTGTTTTGCTAGCTTCTTGATAATTATAATATTAGATTCAATCAATGTCTTTGGAATCAAAGACATGGATTTATCCAATACTAATGTATATTCCTCTTTCCACGATATTTAATAGGGACACTTGATGACCAAATCAAGTTACTAGAAACTAGAAAAGAGATGAACGATGTATTCATGACCAAATACCAAACTGGAGATGCATGGTTGGAGTTAGTCAAAAAGTGTGGTTGGGACATTGAATGGGAGGTTGCGAGAAATAAATTTATGTACATCAAAAGAAGAGAAGGACCAAAAAGATCTAATGCACCTCCAACTGGAATCGCAGGTGATTTTGAAGATGGTTCAAAGAAAAGTCGTCTCTATGAACTAGCAACATATTTTACTATTAGAAGTCATAAATATAACTTTCCCAGGGTCATTGATACTTCAGCGTTTGACCCTTTCTCCATGAATAGCTCAACACAAATAATTCCTGATAACGACGTACTAGATTTAACTTCTAACGATACTTCACAAAACCAAGAAAACCAAAATCCTCCTATTTCTCCTATTTCTCCTAATCCTTCTTTTTCTCCCATCTACAATTGGGACGATGATAACAATAATACTGACGATCCATTTCCAGAACCAGAAGCACCTGATAAATCCTCACAAACGTCTACATCATCAAAATCAAGTAATAATGCCACTGTCACAAATGATAAGAAAAGTAGCCCGAGTTTATATCATCGTAAACGTCGGAAAAATATGACCCAAAATGACATTATGATGAAGACAAGTGAAAGTATTGAGAAAATGGCCAATGATCTTTCAAAGTTAACCTCAGGAACGCTGGAGTATCTCAATTTCTCAAAAGAACTGAAGTTGAAAACATTCAAGAAAAAATATGAAACTGTTGACCTTACAGATGAATCTTAGAAAATCAAAATGATTTTGGAATCAAAATCATGATGATTTCCCTTGATTAGTTCATCTGATTGTTTCGTAAAAGCAATAAGATGCTTTCGGAATCGAAAGCATGTTATTGCTCACAATTAATTGTTAACCATTTTGATATTCAATAAACTAATTTATTACCTTTGAAATTCATTTGCAATTTTTTCGCGAAACTCATTTGCATCGATACAATTTTCAAGTCGGTTTTCATTTACAAAATCATCATCAATCGTAAAATCATCGGAAAGTGTTTCATGAAAATTTCCCAGCGTTATGTTGTTCAGGATACAAGCAGCAGCAATCACGTCAATCGCCATGTCAATTTTACATTCTAATACATTTTTATGTATTCGTCTCCATTTATTTTTAATATCACCGTAGGTTCGTTCAATTGTACTTCTTACTTTAGAGTGCACTGTGTTAAATGTAGTTTTATAATCAGGAAGAAGTTCCTGTCCTGAAGTCTTTTTGAATGGGGTTATGATTGAAATAGGATTGAATGTATTAGTGTAAGCAGAATCACCTAATATAACATAGTTTGCTGGAGGAAATAATTTTCTCTGATAAAGTTGTGATGATTTCAACACATTCATATCATGGCAAGCTCCAGTCTTGCAAATGATGAGGAATCTAACTATCATTCGATGATCACAAATACAAGTAAAGTTGATCGATGTATCCAAATGACGATCAAAATAATCTTCGACGTGATCTTCTGGTACAATGAGCTTAACCAGTGAGCCATCGATTGCTCCGACAACATTTCTAAGGAAACGATTATCATCAGCTCTTTTGAAAAATGCATAACTTATCAATCTAAGTTCGCGTGGATCATTTGGAAGTTTGATTATTGTATCTTGTAGATGCATTACTTTTCCAAGTATTCGCACCACTGAATCATGAACTGTAGAGCTAGGCATATCATAAACTAGCTCTAGTTGTTTAATATGAATTTTTGAAGCCATCCAGTTCAAAAATATTAAAGTTTGGTATCTTATATCCCATTTAAATCTCTTATTTGTAGGGAATTTGCTTACTAACCAGCAAAACTCTTTCTGGTTGAGTCGATAGAAGGACATAAAATAATCATTGGCATCTGGGTCATCAATCAGTTTGAGGTGTTTCTCGGAAATAGCATCGCAAACATGCCTTGGTATCTATAGAATGAAAACATAGCTCAATGTTACTGCGGAATAGTTTTATCATCGATTCCGATGATAACATTATTCTGTTTTCGCTTGCCTTTGGCTAGTGATCTCAAAGTGAGATTTCAGGTTGAGATCTCAAAGTGAGATTTCAGGTTGAGATCTCAAAGTGAGATTTCAGGTTGAGATCTCAAAGTGAGATTTCAGGTTGAGATCTCAAAGTGAGATTTCAGGTTGAGATCTCAAAGTGAGATTTCAGGTTGAGATCTCAATCTGAAGTCTCAATAGCGGAATAGTTTTATCATCGAATCCGATGATAACATTATTCCGTTATTCCAAGTAGAAGTTAATTGATCAAGCAAACTAATAGTCTCTAAGGATTGACTCCTGGGGCTTACCTTACTCCAGTTTGCTCTATTCTTCATATTCATTTGTAAATTGCTAGTCTGAGCTACAGCTTGTATCATAATTCCTACACCAGTTTGTACCGATGATTGTATTTCCACAATTGTTTCGTCGTCAGAATCAGAAGAAGACTCATTGTCAAAATTCATTGAAAGTGTTGTTTATTCACAAAACTAATGGCAAAGGTTTCAAATTCAACAATAAAAACTTTATGACAATGTTCAGTTAACAAAATATAAACTCTGAGAAATTGATACAAAAAAATTGAAAATTGATACAAAAGGATTGAAAATTGATACAAAAAGGATTGAAAAATTGGTTCAAAAAAGAAAAGTAAAATTGATACAAAAAAGTTTATTTGGTAGTTTGAGTCGAGCTCAGATTTTTGATGAATGGTGATTTTTAACTCTACCAATCACAATTATCATCCGCAAACATGACTACATCATCATCAGCAGTGATTATCAAGTCTCCCTCAACATCATAGAAATTTCCTACTCTTGGAATGTGAGATAAATCGTTTTTTTTGACATAAAAAATCAAATTTTCTGGCTTTACAAAAGGATAATCTCTGAGGGGTTCATAAACCTTGTCATTATTGACTTCAAACCATCCTAAATTTGTCTTTATGTTTGCCATGATATGGAGACCACCTGACTCCTTTACTCTATCGTCTGGCAAAATATGTCTAAGCGAGATTAAATCTCCTTTTGCATCCTTAAATACCTCAAAAACAACACTGTAAGATCTAAGTTCATAAGTTGAAATATTTTCACCAGACTTGATAGTAATTTCCTCGGACATAGTTATTGGAATGCCTTTTTTTTCGTATGGAACAGTCTCAAAAGCCAATATCTTGGGTAATTTGGTAATTACAATGTTTTGCAAATCTTTCATTTTGTTGTTGCAAACTATGCCTGGAGATGTAAAAGAAGTAATAGAAAAGTTAGTAAAAATCAGTAAAAATAAATAAGGAATACTTCTATCTTCGATTCCGAAGATAAATTTATTCCTGTTTGTTTGATAGAAATAGGAATACTTCTATCTTCGATTCCGAAGATAAATTTATTCCTATCTTTTCGTACCTTTCTTTATATGTTCACACTTTTCATTTTGTAATGAAAGAAAATATTTATGGTCGTCTATGATTTCTTGAATAGAGCCATACGTTTCGTGCTCAGCAGGTATACGAAACATTGAAAAACTTTTCCTCTTCTTGAATTTAGGAATAGATAAGGCACAATTCTCACAAAAATATTCAAAACGAATTTCTGTATTGAACAGCTCGTTAAATGGAGATTCGCTTGGTATGACTAAGCTTTCAGCGCTCAACTTTCGTAAAATATCTTTAAAAAGCTTGCAAACGAAACCTCCTGGTTCAGCATAGCTTGGGGATTGAAAGTCTGCTAGTTCGAGACAAATTTTAATCAATCTTCTATCAAGTCTTAGATCATCCTGGTTTCGTGTTTTTTGATAGGCACCAGATTTAGCTTTATTAAAATAATCGCCATATAACTTTGGGTATTTTACGTGTATATTATTGGGAACATTTTCGACCTTTAATTCTCCTTGACGGCTCGCCTTTCGATAGACAGAGAAAAAATCCATAATTGCCCTTGTCCATAGAAATTCTGGCTCTTCTTGGTATTGTTCTAGATCAGGATTTGATTGATTTCTTGATGATTTCGAGCCTGGTCTCTTGCGTCTATGCGCGTCCAAATATCCAATAGCTATATCATTAGCTTTGACAAGAGTCTCCACGAAATCATAAATATTGAAAAGTGGAACAAATAAAGGCACGAAAAAACAGTGACCTCGGTAATTGGGAAGACCAATTACATAAGGAGGCTGTAAAAATTAAATAGAGATTAGTATTTGATCAAATGGTTTGCTAACTGAGATCTCGATTTGAGATCTCAGTCAGTGATCTCAAATTGTCAATAGACAGTCACAATTCTTTAAAGGCTTGATCATGTTTCTGATTCCAGAAACACCATCAAGCTTATCTCATCGAAGTTCTTAAGGGCATTGGCTTGATCATGTTTCTGATTCCAGAAACACCATCGAGCTTATGTCATGGAAATTCGTAAGGGCATTGGCTTTATCATGTTTCTGATTCCAGAAACATCATTGAGCTAGTGCCAAAGAAATCGATTAGTTTATTGGCTTGATCATGTTTCTGATTCCGGAAACATCATTGAGCTGATAGCTATCAGAATACTTACCATATAAAAATATTTATCACTTGATAAAATTTCCGATATCATGAGTTCGGATGCATAGCCTTTGGCTTCCTTTTTCTTTTCGCGGCAAGCTTCGGTTTGTATCAAATTATTCTTATAAATAACACTTAGACGAACATAGTTGTAGTTTTTATTTTGATGGGTGAGTGTGTAAACTTCTCGTTTAAATTCCCGAAAATTATATTTATCATATTGTATGAATTCACTGGCAAGTTTTTTGGAAGCTTTTTGGTGTTGAGGAATTGGATGATCAGTATATAACTGGAGGAGTTTTGAAAAAGGAACTTTGATTTCTATTTCTTCTATCGGCGAAAATCTTTCAGCCATGACTATAAACACTGAGTAAAAAAATTAAGAATATAAAACTAAAACTAATAAAAATCAAAGAAACAAAACTTAAACTGTTGACAAAAATGATGAAAACAAATTCTAGCTTGAAAGCTAACATGTGTTCGCGTCTAACCAGAAATTACCAGAAAAGTTATTTTAATTTTCTAAAGAGGGCGCTGATTTTAATTTGATTAAAATTCAATAATAATTAGATTAATTTCTTATCTTCACCATTTTGTCTGGATAAAGTTGAACAGATTTTTGATGAAAAAAAGTAAAGTTAAAATAAATGTTCGTTTACAGATGCAAGTGATGATGATTATGCTGAAGGGAAGGCAAATGCATGATAAGAATTGAAAAAGTTTAATAGCAATTTGAAAGAATCTAATCCTTTACTAATCTACTAGAATCTAATCCTCTTCAAATGAGAATAGTGAAGTTGGAAAAAAAGAAAGAAAAAAGTAATTTCTTCAAGTAAAATTTGTAAGATCAACTTTTCGAAAAAAGAGAATAAGTTGAAGATGAAGAGGAAGAGGAAGACGAGGATGATGAAAAGGTGATGATAAGTAGAAATGAGCTACAAAATGTAATTTTTCTTCTCTTCTCAATAAGTATTAAGATTAAGGATTAACACCATGTAAGAAGATGAACAAGTGCAAAGAAAAACAAAAGAGTGAATTTTTTGTGTTCACCAAAGACTCCATTGTAATTGAATGAAAGATGAATGATAAGAGAGGAAAATATTTTCTCATGACATACCTGGTATTATATCTGGGCATTTATCATCTGTTTCATTGCATGTGCAAACGTCGAACGTTTCTTCAGGTTTTCGTAAAGGTGTGCCAAGCTTCGATTCCTTTTCATCTGCGACTGTTTCTGCAATTAAAAGATCAGATTGTGATTCAACAAAAACTTTAACAAATCAAAGAGTTAAAATCGAAATCCATTTACGCCGAAATGAGAGGATTTTAGATGTTTTCAAAGAAATGAACAACTGAGAACGAAAAATTGTACAAAATCTGAAATTCTTTTCAATCTTGAAATGATCAAAAAGTTAAAATGAATAAATGAAAAATGGAAATTTAATTTTGCACAAAAAAGTAAATAATTTTATGTTCCGTGAAAATCGTCAAACTATGAATCGCTATCGATTTGATTGTTTCAAGTTGTTCCAAGCGAATTCTGTTGACTATCGATAAATGCAGTGAATGAATTTTATTAACTATTCTGAAGATTTCGTTGATTGAATCCCTTTCCTTTGCGAATTGATTTTTGTGCCGGTAACTTGAATCAGAATTTGATATTTCAATAAAATCCGGTTTTTGATTCTGTTCTTAGTTGATAGGAATTTGAGCAAAGAATCGAAACTCGAACAAAATCTCCTTGATTCTAGTTTCATGATTTTCTGAGAACTTAATCCTTAATCAATATTGTACAATAAAATAGAGATTATCCAATTAATTCGTAAAATTGTTTATTTACTTTTATAATAACCTAAAGAAGATGTTCAAATAAAGGAAAAAAACAAACATTGAACTTCTATAAACTTCTTAAATCAATTAACCTGGATTCAATTTAAAGACAACTGAATCTTGATCAGTTCATTTAAAGTTATTAATATTCCTCTGCGTTTCAATTCAATTATTGAATTTCCTTTTCATCTTTTCGTCGATCAATTGTATTCAATTAAATTCCCGATTAACTGAAAAAAACTTTTTGTCAAAAGTCAAGTCAAGTTGAAGTTTTAGAAGTAAACAGAATTGAAATTCTGATAATCATGTAACAACAATGTTAGAATCATTGACTGAATGAAAAACATTGGCTTATGATTCAAACTGATTGTTACCAATCAATAAATACTCAAGAAACAACTTTGTTTCTGGCAAAGAAACTCAGAAAAGATAGTAAATAAAAGACAAAAAGAAGGAAATTACTCGAGAAATGTATCAATGTACTTTACGAATAAAATTGGCAACGAAAATAAGAAAATTATTTACTCATTATTATCATTTGATACTTTTTTTGTCATTTATTTGTACAATAAAGTTGAGCAAAAGTAATAACTAAACTCATCTTATGATAACCCTTTTCAAAAGCTACTGATAACAAGAAGAAATATGTTGAAATAAAAAATGCAAAGAAATTGTGACTTAATATTGAACAGAATAAAGATTAACTTTTAGAAAAAAGTAGATAATAAATTCAATAATATTCTGATATTGTTTAAAATATGAATAAAAAGCAAGAATAATGATGTGATAAGATATTTATCTTTGATAAGAATTATTTTTTCTTGTTCTTCAATTCAATTTATTGAATGATAAGAGTTAACAAATTGATGATAAATAAATAAAATTTTGTTTTCGATTGAAGTAATAATTCCAAATGATGAGATGAAAATAGTTAATTATTAATCAGAATAGACTCAATTATTGAACTTTCATCAATAATTTTACTTTTCAACTTTCATTGTTTCTCAACTTATCAATTTTGACCCAAAATGAACTCGTTAATTTTTCATGCAATAACTTGATGTGAATCGTTTCTGATTCAATTAAGATCTCAACAAAAATCGAACTTTAAAATTCGAACTTCGAAAAAATAGTTTTTCAAATCTCAACAGTTTTCGGGAATCAATGATATTTACTGATAACTTTGTGAGTGAATTTGCTCGCTTTAATGCAAAAAGTCTGTTAATTATTTTGAAAATTTAATGGTTCATTTGCCTTCAATTTGCTGTTCAGTTAACTGAAAGCTTGAAAGAGATTGAAATTGTTGAAATAAATTTTAGTTTTCTCTTTGTAATAACAATTTGTTGAAGCTTGACCAACAGCTAATACCTTTGACCTAAAGGTAAAAAGGTGACTGTGAAGGGAAACAAAGAGTTTCATTAACTCACGTCAAGAGCAAGTAACGCATTTGTTGAGAGGAGTGACTGTACAAGTTCCATGGAGAGTTTTTCTTCTCGTAATTTATCACTACATTAAAGGACTTCAGGGGGTCAACAGTTTTCTTAATAGTTTTTTTTGATGCTCTTCACTGAGTGGCACCATTTTACTCAACAAGACTCACAATATCAATAATAAAATGACATAGTTTAGTAAATTATTAATTCAGTAGAACCATAGCAACATGAAAAGTTTTAGAAGCGATTGTAATGAAAACCAGAAAATGCAATAACAAATGAAATGAAAGTGAAATAATTATTGGGAAAAGGTTGAGGAACAGCATTTAATGATGTTGACAACTAGTTAATTAAATTCACGGCAATAACAATGTAACTAATTTTTAACCGTAACTCAGTCAATTCACTTTACTGGTCAAATGTGATAAATTACTTGTCCAGTTATTCATTCCTTTTATGCCCCTTTAGCACCTTTCATTTCACGCCCTTAACATTACCAACACCAAGTGAGGTCCAAACCTCAAAGCTTAAGCTTCAAAGCTAAAACAAAGTTTTGCTGTTGCAAGAAACTCAATAAGCACAGAAAAAACATTTTGCAATAAAACTAACTATTCAATGTTCAGTGCTTTTAAGATTCAATGATAGTCATTATTTGCGATAAAAATTTTCTTATAATCCTTTAGCTGGAACACGAATTCGAAAAAAATTTTGTTAATTGTGGCGATATTTGGATCTACTTATGGATATCGATTTGCAATCGACAAGACATTCAATTTAAATGGATTTTCTTTTTGGTTAAAGAGGAAAATATTAATTGTCTTTAGAGTGAGATTTTGTGGAACTTACGTTGACTTTTCCTGATTCGTGGTGAAGATGGACAAATTTTAAGTACCATTATTATGAGTAAGGCAAGAACCACAATAATGGTCACTATGGTGATGAGAATGAGAAGGAACGGAGAAGCCGTCAACTGCCAAACTTGACCTTTACCCGTTTGATTGGCCGATTCAGGTTGAGCCAAGGTTGAAGCTACAAGAGTCTCAGGTAAACTGGCGCCCTTTGAGTTGACTGAATATATTTTAAGGGTAAATGTTGTACCCGGTGGAAGCCCTTTAACAGTGAATGAAGGCCAATTCGATGAAATGTTGGCTTTGAGGTCAACAGGAAAATACGAATCATAGACTTCAAGAGTAAAGTGCTGCATCAAGCCACCATCATAGCCTTCAGTGCACTCAACTCGAAGTGAATCTTCACTCGAATTTGCAAGTGAACAGTTCTTCAATGGATCAGGTGGACCAGCGGGTATCACAGTGAATATACAAGGTTCCAATTGAGATCCAACTGAATTTTTTCCCCAACAGAAGAGAGTTCCATAATCGTATTCTGTTTTAGGTATGTAAGTAACTATGGAAGAGGCACCTTCAGATAAATGGTTGGTTAACTCAATGTTTTCATTTGAATTGTTGAAAGACCAGGCAAAGTTTACTTCGGGTGGATCAGATTCGAGATCACACTTAATCTTGACCGCTTCCATTCGCGCTGCTCCATACAATGCCTTTTGTCGCTCCTTACAGACTGGAGCAAATTGGACTCTCAAATGGACTGCTTTCGATTCACCTTCACCTTCACTATTCAATGCAGTGCAAGTGTACCTTCCTCGGTGAGATCGCTGGACCTTTTGAAGAACCAAAGATTGGTTGGAAACAATTACACCCGCAGATGTGTTTGTGTGCAACTCTTTTCCTTCGAACCACCAACGAATCTCTGTCACTTTGGGATTGGCTCGAATTATGCATTCAAAGTAAACATCATTTCCGGCTTGAATATGAGAATGGCGAAGTTTGTTACCCAAACGAAGAGTTAATTGAGGAACATCTGAAAGATAATTGAGAGTAAATTAATAATTAAAATGATAGCAATGGTAATTGAAAGGTAAATATTTACTCACAATGAATGGTCAACTTCCAACTATCCTCAAGTGCACTTGCAGGTATTAATGGATTCTCAGCTCGACAGAACAAGTGTTTGCCTGTGTCATCAGGACTTGGTTTGAATGTTAATATGCTTGTTGTGATGTTACCATCAGCTGAGTGCTTCTCTCGAGTCTTTTTTAATCGAGTTGTGCCCAACCACCAAGTAATGGTCGGTGCTGGACGAGAACCAGCTGCTTGACAAGTCACTTCTCCAGGTTTGCCTGAAGAAAAGGCTTTATTATCGCCTTGAATTTTGACCAACAAAGGGCGAACTGGAATAAACAAAATTATCATCAATTATTTTTATCTCAAACAAAATTAAAAAAATTCCTGAAACATTATACCAATTGAAACAGAGAATATTCTGTTGTTCAATTTAAAGAAAAGAAAAATGACTGAATTTGTTCAGCCTTCGTCTGTTTTACCCAGAATCTCATTTCGACATTATTACATTGTTTAGTTTCTTCATTTACAATTGGGTTTTAGATTCACTTGAAACTCTCTTTTAGCTTGTTTGTTATTTAACTTTTGTTTTTTTTCTGGTCAAAAAGGTAAATAAAATGTACAAAGTAAATTTAATTTACCAACTTTTGCTGAAATGCGAGACGGTAAATGGAAAGGTTAAAGGTTGATCAACAAATCATTAAGCAAGAGTTGAATGAAATATGTGAAAGAAACCTCAAGTTTTAATGAGCTGAAAAGAACTGATCAAACTATTTAAAGTCAAAGAGATACAAAAAGATGAAAATTTTCACCCAATGATTAAAATGAGGTTCATAAAACTCATTTCAATTAACCATAGAAATTGAAATTTCAAAAGTTCCAAACAAGTTCCGAATGTAAAATTCTATTGAAATTGGAACTTGTACTGCTTTTCGAAGGTAAGTCTATTATGACTGGCTTGTCTCTGAGTCAACCTGATTCAATGAAAGTTCATAAGCTATAATTATCCAGCATTCAAGATGTTTGTTTCCAGAGTTCACCTGATTGTGCCAATAAAGAATAGAGTTCACCAATTTGAAATCGAAATGAAAAAATTGAGTTTCAATAGAAGCTGAATCTCTTTGCATTTGAGACTTTGTCATGCTAATAGAATATTGAAAGTTGATAAAAAAATGTTTCCAATTTCAATTGGTTTCATAATAGCATAATGTTTTAAATATGATAATATGAAATTTGTTGTTGAACAATCGAGACAATTGAGTGAAGTAAACACATCATTTGATTTAATGATCAATATAATAAGGATTAAAAGTTGATTCAATTTTTTTGCTTCACTCGCACCATCATAACCATCATCATCAACATGATTCAATATTCGTTGAATATTTATTTCCGTCATTTTTGTTACAATATAATGTTTCTGTTGGATGATTGATGAAAAATGAAAACAACTCAAGTTTGATGCAAAGCTTATGCAAAAAATGGTGATTTAAGATGAGAGGAGAAAAGGTTAAGGAACCAAATGACAGGTTTATTTGAAAGTCTTGCTTCTCCTCAAATGATAATGATAATAGTATTGAAAGAGATGGAGAAGCGAATTGATAACAGGGAATGATGATGAGAAGAAGAAGGAAAATGGCCAATATTTATCTTCTCTATCGAAGGTGAAACAAGACAAAATAAAGTGATAATAATATTGATAAAAGTAGAGTCAAGTGGTTATATATTTGCTCTTATAAAGAGACAACTTTTTTTCTGTTTATACATGGCTCAATCCTTCAGCATTCTCAATCATCATCATAATCTTAGATAAAAAGAACAATAAAAAAGAGTAAAGATGATCAAGATGTTCAGGCTTGGGTGAACTGTTGATAACCAGGTTATAGATGAAATTGTGTTCAACTGAGTGAATAAAATGAGATAATATGAAGAAAACCACTTCAACTTCAATAAAATCTTTTTCTAATTCTGTCAAATTCGACTTGCAATCGACACTTTTGGCACCAAAACGGATAACAGAAAAATGGTGTTAATAGCATTTCTTTATTTACAGAAAACTTTACTTTTCCTTTTCCTTTTAACCAAATCTTGAGAATTGGTAGAAATGCGAATAAAACGAATTCAAATTTTGATTTTATAATCGATGCCACTTGAGTCTATAACTTGAACGACTTGAACGATTTGTGAAAATGGTTGAGGAAAAGAAACGAAAAAAATGCTTCTTCTTTTCAAGTTGACTGATTGTTGATTGATATAGTCAATGTAATAACTGAGACTTGAATGAATTCCAAGTTTTCTTGTTATTCCTTTTCTCTTCTCAGGTTTTTACTCTTCATCATCAGTTTACTGTTTTTGATGTTAATCAACATGATGATGATGTAAGAAAACGATGAAAAAGAAACAAGGATTGTTGTTATTTTGTGTCCCTTCGTTGATTGAGCCCATGATTGATGATTCCCATAAAGATGATCATCTTTTCCTTGCTTTTCCCTGCCATCTTCATAATCATCATTACCATCATCAGTCTTACATATTGAAAAAAAACAAACAAAAAGGTTTAGAACTTTTTTTTTGTTAATTTTTGCTGAAAAAACGTTCAAAGTGACAAGTAAACACACACACGATAATGAAACGTTACACATTAACGTTTGGTTCAGTTTTCCTTTTCAGTTAAACTTAAACTAATCACAATTTCAGAGTTAAGTTCATGATTGAAATTGGGAGGTTACTTAATTGATGAATTAGATGGTTACTTCAGGGGTTCAAATGCACAGATAATTGATTTAATCAGCTATTTTCAGTTTCATAAGGCAACAAAATTGATTCCTCAGCTCATCATTTTAGGAGTGAAATGAAGAAAGTAAAAAAAGTATCAAATTGTCTTCAAAATAACTTGTTCCATTGAAATTTAATGCAATAATGTTTCAAAGTAAATCATGAAACATCTATTTATAACCAGAAACCTGTAAAATTCAATATTGCCAGTTCTTTTGCCTTTAAATGAAACAGATTAATTTAGACAAAGCAAAATGTGATCACTTCAACGACTATTCAAGTGAAGAGATAATTGAAAGAGTAAAATGTCCACAAAATGATTTAGATTGTCATTTACCTGAAAACCTCATTTCAACATTTTGTGTCATAAGCATTTTCATGATTACGGTAAAAGGAATATCTTATCAAGTCAGAATAAAGAATAAAAAAAGGAAAGAATTGAAATTCGATACTCAACGCTTCATGGAGAAACAACAAATTTTTCAGTAACAGACATCAAAATGAAATGAATACCAGCAAATGTGAAACTTTTACTGAATCTAGATTTCGCAAAATGTAGTTTCTTCATTCGGTCAACTTTAATCAACTTTGTATTCAAGTTATTCAGTTATTTTGATATTGTAACAACGTTGGTATTGAAACAACGATAAATGAAGATTGTCTGTTGACTGAAAATCACAAATCACTGATTTGATTTTACTGTAATTTCGTTTTCACAAATGATCAAGTATTTGGAATAAATATTATGTTGTTTCACGATCATGAGAAATGATCTTCATCAGTAGTTGCATTCAATTTGAATAATTGGTGAATCATTTTCAGGGAAACACAATTTTAACCATAAAAGGAGTAACTTGAATAATTATGGTTTTAAAATTCAAGCAACGGCCGAATCGGCCGTTTCCATTATCAGATTAAGATTTGTTTTTTCATGTTTAAGTGTTGATGTTTGAGATGAAAAGCTATCAATGCATTTCTAGCAATAACATCAAGTGTAATTGCAATTGGATTATAATACAAAATTGGCTGTAGTAACGTTAGAGGAAGAAAATATCGATGAAAATGATGATAATATTCATGCTCATGATATTAGAATGTGGGTTTTGTCTGACTGTGCACTTAATAAAGATCAAGTTCTAACTGTGCTCAGTTATCAGATTAGTAGATAATTTGGTTTTACTATTCAAGTTGACTTTAAGAATTGATTTATTGATGAAAGGAAAATAGAAAAGGTTTTCTTTTCTTTTGTTTTTCCTCTTTTTCTCGCTAAATGAATCTCTCTTGAAATGCTTATTTATTAAACAGGTAAAAAGTGATTTTCATTTTCAAAGGTAAAATGAAGGCAACAAAGCGCATCACAGCAACTCGGATAAGATTAAAAGTGATTAAGCAAAAAGGAAGAAAAAGAAGCGTGAAAAAGGCATAAACTTGTAGTAAAAAAACAAGATGCTTGACCAACATCAACTGTTGGTTACTCAAAACGCGAACAACTCTTAATGCGATTCTTGAGTGATCCTTGAGCAATTACAGGTTAAGCCTGATCCATAACTAATTTTGCCTTTTAGTTGAAAACAAAAACAAAATAATATCTTTTCAATGGTCAAATTATTATCATTAACTGTTGTAATGATAACATAAATGAAAAGCTAATAATTTGAGATTAAAAGCCTTGAGGCAATGAGGTTGATTAAGGAGAAGAAGGTGAAAAGGAATGAAAATACGAGTCAATTGGATGAGGCAAAAGGGAGGAGATAAAGGTTACAGGTTAGGTGAGGTGTCAAGGGTGGGTTAAGGTGGGTGGTTGTGGTTATGGTCAGTGAGAATGAGAATCTTTGCGAATCTATTTTTGTCCATTTTAATCATCATAATGGTTACTCTTCTTGACTCAAGAGTAATGATTAAGCCAAGCAAATAGTGACTTGTTGGCCAATGGAAGGTCACTTAGCGTTATTAAATTTTGCACCTTCAATCCAATTAAAGTGTCAATCATGATCATGACTTCAATTATTTGCAAAATTCGCAAATCTCTCATTTCCATTAAACATTCCTATTTTGGTCAACTTTATTGACGATTAGAATCGACGAATCTTCTGTTTATAAAAATAGAACAAATTTTATCGATTAAATGTTCTAATGATTTTCATGCAAATCAAGGTAAACAATTGATTTTCCTTTTCTATTCGAATGAGGAAAAGCTGAATTCAACTTGTTCTGTATTACTTGCCATGTAACGATATTAACTGAATTATCATGTTTGTGATGAAAGAATGAAAAATGACTCAAATTATTGAACATAATTTTACTTTCATAAGTTGAGATTCTGATGAGTTTAAATGTAGCAAAATATTGTTAATTTTACCTGATTTTTCTCTTGAATTTGCTACTGAATAAGTTGCAAATTAATTCATGTTAATGAAAAGAAAATTCTGTCCGTTTATAACAATGATAAAGTTCAACATTCATTTTACTGGTTGAAAAACAGGGAAACTTTTGTAAAACATTTGCAGCCAACAATTTGTTTTACTTGAGTTGACAGTAAAAATAAGAAGAAACT